GAATAATTGATGGCTGGTAGTTAATTTCTTTATCTTCAGAAAGGAAGAAACTTATTAATGAGGATAATGCATGAGAGATCAATGCCAATGTGTGTGACATCGATTAATGATTTCAACTTGTAACCAGGTTGGAAAAAGCAGCTGGGCTCTGTATTTGAGCACATAATTATCTGTAATTGTGCTGATTACTTGGAGTGGGAAAACAGATAAGGCACCACTTACAGGGTACAGAGAACTGGGCAGAGGTTTTCTCCTTGGTACACACTGAGATGGGTTATCATTAACTCCTCAGTGGTGAAGTTCCTGCACAGATGTGGTGTGGGTTTATTTCTCCTGTGGTGATGGCATGTCTGGATGTGCACATATATATCTGTAAAAATGGATTAATCTGCACAAAGAAGTGAAACTAGTACTAGAGAGACAGTTTGTTTCTAATAATAAAAAATTGTAATCAGGAAGGCAGATGGTGAAGTTGCAAATGGTATCAGGAGAATGACCTGAGGAGTTAAGTTTGCTTTCTTTAACACCATGACAACAAAAGCTCAACAGATCATATTCCAGACCCAAACTTTCAGTGCATAATATAAAGAAGTGAAAACTTTTAATCCATCCATCGAAGCTTACCTAAAACTTTCACCCATCAATCCTGTGTTTTAACCAGGATGCTGCCTAATAGGCAGCTCTGTAATGAGAGCTGTAAGTTGTGTGAGTATTTATTTCCAAGTACATATTTACTGCTTGCCTCAGGGGAGAAAAAAGAGTTTGCTGTATTGAGCTGACTGATCTTGGTGTGTATTGAACTTGTCAAAGCTGAGGTTCTCTTTAAGCACCCACTGGTGTGTGGGATTAAACTTCTCCTGTACCTTCAGGACTCTGCCTAGAGCCAGACTCGAGTGAGAGCTGTGTTTTGGGGACCTGTGCACCCTCAAAGAATCCTGTAGAAGTGCAAAAAGATGTTTTCCTCCTCTTCAAAAACAGCCCATGGGCTGTGGAGTACTCACTTCCAGGCAGCAGAGCTGTGATGCTGGAGCAGAGGCAGCCTGGCTGTGGTCTGTGAGTCAGCTTTCTGCTGGAGCTGAGATGCTGCACACACTGCAGGGGACTGGAGGAGTTCTTCCAACTTCCCTTACTAGCCTGGTAGTAGGATTGGGTATTTACATGCTAACTTTTTTGTTAAACACTTCACAAACATACTTATTGCTTCAGTTTTGTGAGATGATTGTGTTTAATGTGTTCTCTTGACTAAATGCATCAGCTGTCCTAATGTGACAGTGCCTTCAGTTGTTTAGCACTTCATTGGCCCCCACCACAAATGGTACAGATTGTCCCTGGAAACCAAAGAATTACTTTTTTTTTGTCTCATCTGACCCAGTGAAGGAACACTTTTACAGAGTCAAGAAGCCTCAAGCAACAAGCTCAAGAAATCTTCAGAGTATGTCAATGTTGTCTTTTTTAAGCCACTTGAGAGTTATTAGTAACAGCAGAATCAGCTGTGGTGTTGTACACCAGGATGAGATCAGACTTAGAACTTTTCTTTACCATTTTCAGTAAATAATACCATGTAATACACACTAGCCTTGAAATGTAGAAGTCTAACAAATTCTTTTGTAGGGGTTTTAATTCTTCATGCCAGCTCCAAAGCCACATATTATATAAGCTTTTGTGTGCATCACTGCTTTGTGAACACCTGAGTTGTAGAGCACAACTTGTCCCTGTCTTTCTTGATGGTTTATGAACCAACATTATGGCTGTGTTTGAATTTCAGGAGCTCCCTTAGCTGTAAATGAGTTATACTGATGGCTTGGCTCTTTATTTTTAAATTACACATTCCTGACCTGCAGCATGTTTTCTCATTTCCCTTCTCCAGCCTTACAACTTCTTTTAATAGCTGGATTTCATCCCACCACTATATATCTAGTCCTCAAAGATGTTGTTGTTGTCTGGAAGACTATTTCAATCCTCCTGGGTTACAAATATCTATTGACTTTGCCATTAACTGAAATAATTTCAGACTTTGGGATTTTGTGCTTACATCTGCCTAATTTTAATTTATCCTGTTCTTGCTGCAGTCATCCTGCATCTTATATTTTTTGTTTTCCTTTCTAAAAAGACTTTTTGAGTTCAGACAATCCTCCATAAGGTTTTAGCCTGATTTTAGTCCAGCCTAATGTTTGCCTTTGCAGTATTTGATGTCCAAGACCATTGTCTCTTGTCAGTTTTTTCTTAGATTCTTGTAGGCAATTTATTTCTAACCTTTCTTCTCTATCCAGATCTTCCTTCCCACCCTTCTTCACCTTGCTTATGATGCAGACTTCTTGGTTTGAAATTCTCCCCTGTAAGAAGTATTAAGTTTCTCTCCTTTTCACTCCCTGAGATCCTTGGACCTCAGGAAGTCACTTAGTTTACCAATTTTTTTGTCATTCTGAACATGAATGCCAGACTTGCTTCTGTTTCTTCCCTTTTCTTTAGTTTATATGAAAACAACTTTATTTAGAATTTGTTTTTTACAGCTGTTCTTTGCTACTGTTTTATACACTTCTTACCAGCACCATCCCTGTGCTTCAAGACTTTCTGTTCTTATTGTCCAGGCAATTTGCACTGATCTAAGAATTATTATATATTATTATTCCAGTGGTTTCTATGTCTGCTGTGCTGGCTGGATCCTTTCTGCGGCCTAGCAGATGATTTAGTGAGGAGGTTTTCTTCTTGTTGTTCTGTTCTCTTTTCTCCCTTCATCTACAATTGTAGTGGTTTATGACTGTCCTTGTGCTGAATGAAAGATAGAGTGCCTTAATTCCTGAGGTGATGCTGACACCTAAAGAGAGGGTCACACATCATTCATGGGAGGGGTTTTAGGGCTGGGCATAGGACTTGGTTCCCAGGGAAGCTGTGGCTGCCCCTGATCCCTGGAAGTGTCTGAGGCCAGGCTTGGAGCAGCCTGGGACAGTGGAAGGTGTCCCTGCCCATGGCAGGGGTGGCACTGGATGGTCTGTAAGGTCCTTCCAACACAAACTTTTCTCTGTTGAGATACAGGGACCTCTCAAGCTCATTTCTGGCTCAGGCTGTGAACAGCTGAGGAGGAGAATTTGCTGTATAGCAAGCTGATGCTGTCTCTGTTGGCTCCCAGGGTGGTGCTCTTGCAGTGAAGGACTGCAATGTGCAATTCTTCCGTGGTTACTCCAGAACCATAGCATAGTTCAGGTTGGAAAAGACCTTTAAGATCATTAACCTAGCAGTGCCAAGCCCACCACCAACTCATGCCCCAAGTGCCACATCCCACCTGCCTTTTAAATCTCCCCAAGCCAACCTCTTCCAGTGCTTGACCACTCTTTCAGTGAAGAAATTTCTGATTATCCCACCAGGCAGAGTTGAGGACATCACAGCCCCTAACAAACTTCCATACTCTGTGGGATTCACATTCTCTGGACCTGAGAGAGGTAGAGAAAAGAATGATCAAAACAATCTTTATCTCATTTGCTGCTCCTGTGTTGTTCCAAAGCAGAATGCAATGTGGGGATTGTTTACCCACAGTGATGGTGCTTTGTTTCCTTGGCCTGCCAGGGCCAAGTGTGTGTATGCAGACAGGGTCAGCAGGCAGTCACGAGATTCTGGGCAGTTGAGTTGGGTGCTTGTGCAGATTCAGTTTAAATATAATGTATTATAGTGTAATATAATATAGAATAATATAGTATAATAAAGTAATTAATTAGCCTTCTGGTATCAATGAAGTCAGATGCATCACTTCTCCCGGACAAATATATCACCGGTACTACTCCCGTAATTCCAAGTCTCCGGCGCTCTCGTAGTATTTAAAACGAATCGCCAGGCGCTTGTTTCAAACACAGAGCGGTGCTTGGGAGGGGGAGCGCTGCCCGTGCCCGGGGCAGCCCCGGCAGCGCCGCAGCCGCCGCCGGTCCAACACCGCCCCCTTCGGGCCCGGCAGCGCCGGAACCACAGCGGGGCCGGGGAACGGCGGGGAAGGGAGCGGGGCTGGGAAGGAACAGCGGGAGGAGCAGGGCCGGGCTGGAACAGAGGGAAGGGAGCGGGGCCGGGCGGGAGCAGCGGGGAAGGGAGCAGGGCCGGGCGGGAACCAGGGCCAGGGGAGCAGCGGGAAGGGAGCGGGGCTCGGCCGCCGCCGGCAGTGCCCGCCCGCCCGCCCCGCTGCCATCCCCGCTGCCATCCCCGCTACCTTCCCCGCTGCCATCCCCGCTGCAGTCACTGCCCAGGGCTGGCCGCACAGGTGTGCTCTGTCCGGGTGCTCACTGCTCTCCTCTTCCTGTGAGAATCCAGCCCCGGTGACTTGATCCCGACTGATCGGACTCATCAGTCCTATAAAAGGCCTTAGGTTCCCCCTCGCTCCTCTCCACTTATCATTTTGGGTCAAGAAGTTACCTGTGGACAGCGATTCTTAGAATTGCGCCCGAAATCGTCTCCCTGCCTCTGCCTGAGCCCTAGGAGGGAGTGCGCAGGGCGCGGTGTGCCTCGCTGTTCAGCAGTGAACTCCCGAAAGTAAAGTGAATAAGGATGGAAATGACTATTTTCAGCTGTAGGTGCCCGTGAGCTGCTCGTAGCAGCCGCCCCATCAAACAGCAGGGCTCGGGGGGTGGTGGGGGGGTGCCTATCTCCTCCTTGGCTCCAGCAGAGGGTCGCTCCCTCCATCCCATCCCATCCCCGCGCCGCTGCCGGCCCCAATCCCACCCCCAATCCCAGCCCTCCGTTTAACGCCAGCCCCTCGCTGCCAGGGCAGTGGCAGCAAACCTGCCTGCGCCGCGCGATGCTGCGCTCCAGCCGCTACCGCGGGGCGCTGTGCGAGCGTTCGCCCGGCCTTGAATAAAGCACCGAGCACCCCCAAAGCCGCGCTCCTCTCGGCAGCGAGCGGCTCCCGGGGGGGCAGCGGGGCGCGGCCGGCGCTGGGCTCGGCTCGGGGGGCACCTCCCGGCCGCCCCCCGCCGCTCCGAGCGCACCGCGGCTCCGGCTGCCGGGGCCGCCGCCGCGCACGGCCACCAATGCGGGGGATAGCGGCGGGCACGCAGCGGCTCCGCGGCAGCGCGGAGGGCAGGTGAACTCCGGGGAAGGATGACCGGCGTGGCCGCGATCGTCTTTTTCCTGCAGCTCTTACCCAGGGCGGACGGACAGGTTTTCCCAGGTGAGCGATGCCCCCGCTCCTGCATCCCTCGGGTGGCTCTCCCAGCAGCCCGAACTCCGCGCCTCCAGCCCCGCGGCCTCGCAGGGAGCTCCCGATGCCATCCCGGGGATGGAGGCGCCTCGGAAGGCGCTAGCCAGCGGCAGCGAGCAGCCTCGGTGCCCGCCGGTACCCGGGAGGCACCGGGGATGGGATGCGAGGGGCTCTGCCCCGCCGGGGCTGGGGCCGGGGAGGGCTCGCTCCTGCCAAAGTTGCGTGTGGCAAGAGGTGACAGCATCGCCTTTATGGCAGCGTCGCCTTTATCGTGGGATTCGCGACACGCGAGGCGGTTTTTGGTGGTTTGCGAGCCCCAGGCAGGAGTTGGCTCCTGCGGGATGTGGAGCCGCTGCCTTTCCCTCCGGCCAGGGGAAGGGGTCTGGGCTTGCCCTGGGAAGTTTAGTGGCAGCTGTTTGAGCACTTGCATGTCACAGCTCCAGGAACTTTCTCGGGGGTCTCCTTCCCAATTGTCACTTTGTCTGTCGCTGATGTTTAGGAGTACTTTGCTCCCTGGCATGTGTACAGTAATAGTAGCCGGCTATTTTCCCACTCCTACGAGTTCCTTTAGGCATAGTTTGAATGACTTGAAGATGACAGGTGCTTATAGAGCTGGCTTTCTCCTCCTGTGCTATTTTATAGGTAATCCAAAGCTACATGGGTCTTGTTTTTATTCTGGATCTTGCAATACATTCATTTTCTCACTGCAATTTGTGCTTATGCTAAAAGATAAGCAGTTATAGCTTTCTTCTCTCTTGACTTAGGGAAAAAAAAAAAAGTATTTTAAAACTATCTGTATGTTTAAGACGACTAAAATTTCCCTGTGTTGTTGCTTAACTAAATAGGGATACATCTCATTGACTTGGGCGTGCTGGAGGCACGAAACTAAGTTGAGTTCATCTCAAACACAAGAAGGTTTTTGTGACTCGAAGCAGCAGCTCGGGTGACTGTGTCTCGCTGTTTTGAAGCAGCAGCAGTGGCGTGTCGGGGATGCTGAGCACCGTGCCCACCTTCCCCCGAACCCCTGGGCTCAGGGACGGGGCTGGCTGGAGGTGCTGTCACCAACCCGGCTGCCTCTGACACCACCGGGATCGTGTTTACATTGCTAGGCAACTGCACAAAGCACAGATTTATTAGAGAGGCTGGGAGATCTAACCTAGTTAAATAACTGCTTCCTTGAGTAAGCAATATGCGGAGCTATTTATTTCCCCCCTCCCTTCTTTTCTCTCCCTTCCAACTGTTTTTCGTGTTCTTGACACTTGTCATATCAATTGTGATTAGATCCCGGGCTTTTGATGAATCATTTAGCCAGATGCTTGGAAAGAAGAGTGTTCTGGGAAAATAGCAAAGTTTTAAGGGGGCAGAAGGCACTTTGTATTTGAGGGAGATAATGTAATATGAGCTAAACGCATGAAGATTTAACATATTTCAATTATTTTTAGGAAAGCTATGAAATATTTTAATTATCAGTTCAGTGGAAATAGTAACTGTGAGGGGTTTAAAAAAATCGTTAATATCCTCTTCTCCCTCCTATTTGAGTGTGCATCCTGCCATCCAAAGTAAGAGGCACTGATTTTAATAACTGTTTCTGAGCTGCTTGTGGGACTGAAATGAGGAGAAAGCTTTCTACTCTTAAAATAAATATCTGCTGTGAAGTGTACTGGTCTGGACTGTGTCCCTGTAGGTGATTTTAAAAAAAAATTTTTGAATGGTAAAAAGCAAAATTTTGCAGGTTCACTTTGTCCCTGAAAATTCCGTGAAGTTTGGAGTGGCTCCAGTTAATGTCATCGGTGTCTTTCCACGTCTTCCATCAGGTGGTGCTCTCTCCATAACTTTTAGGATGCAAATACCTCCCGTCTCCGATTATTTTTCAAAGACTACTGCGTTTATACAGCAGCCTTTTGTTAAACATCCCGAAAAATCACTGTGCAAGTTGTTGGTTGTTGTTATTTTTTTTAAAACTTATTTTCTTAAGTGATCGCTGGACTAGGAAATAGGAAAGGCAAAAGTGAAGAGGAAATGTAGTCAGTTCCTACCCGATTTGCACAGCTGCTGCTGCTTTGTGTTATTCCACACGTTAAATTAGGAATACTACAAAGAGACAGCAGAATGCTCCTGGTTTCTCCCTGGAATACCTCGTTTCATCCTGAGGGAGCTGGCTACCACTCATTTCTTTATGTAATTTCTCCATCACTCTATTTATAACTCTTCTCCCCAGCAATTACTTCCCCTTCCCTGCAGTCTCTGTATTTATTTGTAACTCAACATATGCTTTTCGACGTTCTAAACTTTTTTGTCAGCTTTAGGGTCAGCTGCTAATTTAAATGCTTTACTTTTCCGTGCCAGACACAGGAGCAGCACCAGGTGATGATAGCAGTACCCAGTTCTTTCAGGATTTTGGAACAGCATTACTTCAGCAAGTTCTCCTGAAAGTCCGTGTGCGGTTTTTCTCCCACCAGAACATGGGGGGTATTACTGCAGTTGCCGCACACTTTGCTATTGTCTGTTTTGTGACGATTTTTAACACAACAGGGGGGATAAATGGAGAGATTAAAGTCATTTGCAGCTGTGAAAAAGCATCCGGTGGGGAAAGTAGGACAGAGGGTTTACATGGGGGCTGTTGACCTGCACACCAGATTATTTAACACTTGTTTTTCTTCTGATGGCAGCGCTTAATTTAATTTTCCCCCTGTCCTGCTCCTTGCTTTGATGGCAGAGCTCGAACGCTCCCAAGGGCCGCTGCCACATCGCGAACTTGAGGCAGCTGAGAGTTCATTACACAGGGCTCGTCTAGCCGGGAGAGAAGATGAAAAGGGAGCAAACTGCAAGGAAATTTTTTTGGGGAAGCCTTGATTTAGTAGGAGTTCATTTGCTGAGGTTTTGCTGTCGGTAAATTGGCGGTGAAAAACGGGCCTTTCTGAGCGAGCTGCTCTGTGTGGCAGTTGTTAACAATGCAGCCATTTAACTCAATAATCACTTTTCTCTCCCTCTGGGGAGCTGTTAGCGCCACAATTCCACTTTATTTTTATCCCCGGCTGGCTCGATTTGTTTTCTAATACATAAACAATTAATCCTAAGAAGGTGATGTTGTGAAACTGCCTCTTTCGACAGCGGCAACGAAAGGTCACTGTGTGTATAAAGGCGTCTGTGAATCTCTGAGGGATAATCCTTCTCTTTTACAAATGCAGAGCCCTTTTTAACCATCCAAGTCCCTAAGCTCTGCTTCTCTTGTTTAATTGTACTTTTAAAGTCTGTTATGCTCTGCGTGCAGGCCCACGTGCTCCAGTTTTCATTAATATTACGGGAGTGATTTGGGGCACTTACTGTAGAATATTAAAGTATATATATATATTTTTTTTTCAGAAGGCACCATCATCTGTTGCCATGGAAACCCGAATAGTAGTAAAGATGTAGGTCTGAGGCTTTGAACCTCGAAAGCCACGGACAAGGGTTGTTTCTTATAGGAACAATTACTTTTGTACATGAAATCCAGTTAAGTGGAGAGAAGAAAGAGAAATAAATTGATCTGTTCAGCATTGCTCTGACAATCCTCTTGAATAACGTTCAGCACAGAAGGATCAGTGTCTCTGATTCTCTCTATGTGTATGGTGTGGGTTTTTTTAAGCTCATTATTTATCATAATAGTTGTTTTATGCCTCTGGTAATTTTCATTGTGATTTTATAAGTGAGGTGCACAAATGTGTATTGGCAGGTATTGTTCTTTGCTTGAATGGGAAATACTGACTGTACAATGGAGAGGTGTGCATTGGAACTTAAATGTTTTGGCAACAGGCAAATTTGAGACTGATTTAACATGGCCCTAATTAAGAACAAGAATAAAAATAGCAGATGCGGTCTGAAATCCACACACCAAAATCTGATTGAATACATGGGTTTGCTCAGTGATGAGAGTGATAATACTTCTGCTTTCCCACAGAAATCCTGCAGCCTGGTTGACATCCCCAGAAACCCTTACGGTGTTTGGGTGACGAGCAGCAGGATGTGTGTGTGTGTGTGCATTGCTATATAAAGCCCTCTGTCTTTCTAGAGAGACATCCCTTAATTTTTTATGGAAACTGCTGCAGTCTGTTTCCTCGCTGTCTTGTAAGGCACAGATTAAAAATGTAACTGAGCTTCCAAAAAAATGCTCGTAGGAACATCCATAGATGAGACTTCCCTTACATGAATTTGAAATAGCAGCAGCATGCAGGGGTCACCTGCTGCTGTGAACAAGTTGTAGTCCAGGTCTCCATCTGTGAAGCATGAAACCTTCTGTGTCTCCTGTTGCCTCAGTAGCAGAGGGCTCCACTCCCCTGGGGAAGGGCTCGTGGGTTGCCATTCCTTGGCTCTGAGCTCATATTCTTGATAAGAAGGTGGTATATGGCCCTTGTGGTATTTCTGGAACGTTTTATGGAGCAGCATTACTTGGCTCATTGAAGCCAGCGTATTTGGCCTGGAGTCACTTTTTATATACCACTCACTGTTCCTAGTTTTCATATTTTTCTTTAGCTGGTGCTCTCCCCTGTTTGTGCTGGATGTACCTTCATTTAGGTGGTCTCTGCTTTTTTTTTTTGAGATATCTTTACCTACCTCTTACCCTGCCACCTTCCTGGCCTGGTGCTGTCCCTTACTTCTGAATGCCATTCCAGGCAGAACCAGAGAAAAAGAGCAGGCACACAAAAGTGGTGGCATCAGTGAGGACTTCTCACAGCCTGGTCCTATTTTTCTGTGCACTTGTCATTACATAACAAAAAGGGTTCATTATTGTGAGCTCTAAAGATCATGCATCTTCATGGTAAAGGAGACAATTACTGTCTTAATCAGACTATGCATCATTTAATCAGTCCTGCTTGTTTTTTAATATCCAATAAATACATCCCATCTATCACGGCAGTTCAGAGATGTCAGATGCTTTGTAAGCTGGATGGCAGGACATTGCACGTTCCAGAGGAAAATGCTGATAAGAAAGA